CACTGTCCTCCCGTTGTTCATCAATTTGTTTGAGCAGGCCCAGTAACGTCTCCATTGTGAGACTTGTTGTTACTGTGTTTGGCATATCGAATACATCATGGGTAGCTTGCCAGGCTTTGCCATGTGGGCGAGATACTCTCGGTAGCTTGCTGAGATCTCTGAGAGTGATGAAGGAATCGAACCTGGGCTGACCGTGTCGCCCGTGTGCAAGGCAAATGTCTTACCCACTGTGCTATAGCTCCAGTGCAGACTATTCCTCAAAAATCATTCACTGGAAAAGAACAAAATAGAAGGGAAAGGAGAATGGGACTTGAAAATTGGGTAAAATGGGTTGACTCTGGTGAAGGCTAGAAAGTAGAATTTAGGTGGTGAACATAAAGTAGTATATAGATATTGCTTCTCGGCCTTTTGGCTAAGATCAAGTGTAGTATTTATTCTTATTAATTTAATAATTGATATATTCCCTATCTGAGGAGAACATATGAAATGTATTTTTTGGATTAGGAAATAGGAATTTAGGAAATTAGGAATAGGAACTTGCTCCATCTATTCCACTCATCAACCTGAAATTGCAGTACTTCCATAAATGGTGCACCAAGAAAAAGAAAAGCAGTACATAGATATCCAAGACTATACACTTGAAATATACATAATGTGAAAAACAATACTCAATTAAAAAGTCACGATCATGATCACGACCACCCTGTTGTTCGTCGATTGCCTTGAGCAGGTGCCAGTAACGTCTTCTTCGTCCTAGCCCTGAGATTTTTTTTTTAAAGTGCCATATTCAAGGCTTTTTCAGGGTTAGGAGAATGAGACCCATCATTGCTACTGGTATTTGGCACATTGGGTATACCACGGGGAGTTTGCCAGACTCTGCCGTGTGGGCAGGTTACATTTGGTAGCCTGCCAGTTTGTCCAAAGTAGGAATGAGATGATAAGATGTCATCTTATCATGCGGCCGCGTGTGATAATCTCTGGATCCTGGCCGTTGTTGGAGTTACACGGCAGTTGGTGGGTGTAACTGTCTAGTTACTGGCAGGTCCAGTCCCAAACCGTGCAGGCTTGAAGATCTCAGCCCCGGGTCCCACACACCTGGGTTCCTCTGCCAGTTCTTTTATGCGTGAGGCACATCCAAGTGTGTGGAGAGTGGTGCCAGCATGGCCTTGGCTGGGCTCCGGAGGTCTTCAGCTGTTAGGTCCTGGTGGAGACAGTAAATTAAAAAGTAAAGACTTAAAATTTTTAATCCACTCACTTATTTTAAATGGAGTGGCTCAGCTTCTACTCTGAACTGAAAGGGTACATGATCCTTGTTCTCTAAGACATCAACAGTAAAGTGAAAGAATGGAACAAAATATCAAGCAGAATGCATACCTAGTCATCTATACCCAGGGTACTAAGTACTCAGAGGAAAAAAACTAGAATCTTTTAATGAGATCTTGGAAAGTCTTAGAATTCTTATGAAAGGGGGAGGAAAACTAAAACTTACAGGACACAGGTATGCACTCCTAGCACCAAAGAGAAGGAGAACTAAGGCACATTAATTCCCACCCTATAATACAGGATGCACAAAATTAGAATAGGGAATCCAGGGAAGTAAGAAATAAGGTACAACTGGACAGAGGGAAAATTTGACTTGCCTCCCACCCCAAAACAAAAGGATTCAGATGGTAAAAATCTAGATACATGTACTGAGGACAGCATTTTACTTCTTACTTTCTGAATATAACAACTCTGAAGAAATATAACAGTAAGATGAATTCAGAGAAATGATCATAGCTATCGTTTGAAGGCAAAATTCTAAGAAAGAAAGTTTGATAGATGAAAATATATGTGTAGAGAATAGATAAGAAGCTCTGGTTTAAAAAAAAAGTATATGACTTATCATCAGGGAAATGCAAATCAAACCTACAATGAGATATACACCATTATACCAGTGACTATGCCACAAATCTAAAAGAGGAGAAATAGGGTCAGAGCAATAGTACAGTGGGTAGGGTGCTTGCCTTGCACATGTCCAACCCAGATATGATCCCCAGCATCCCATATAGTCCCCAAAGCACCACTGGAGTAATCCCTGAGTACAGAGTCAGGAGAATGATGAGCTTTTCCAGTGTGGTTTTAAAAAAAAAGCCAGAAACAAGCAATGGTGGGGATGTATGTGGATTTATGGAGGAAAAGGAATTAATCTTCTGTCAATAGGAATGTTGACTGCTTCAGTCTCTCTAGTAAACAACACAGAGATTTTAAAGAAAGAATGGAGTCAGATTTAACTAGTTGGGCATCTTCCTCAGGAACACACAAATATTCAATTGTAAAAATATTTGCACTCCTACATTCACTGCAGCGTCATTCATATTAGCCAATATCTGGAAACAACCCAAGTGCCCAAGAACAGATGAGTGGATAAAGAAAATTCTGGTATATAAACAAAAACGTATTCAATTCAACAATAAGAAAAGATAAAATCCTGATGTTCTCTGCTACATCCATGGAACTGGGTAGTATCACACTGAGAGAAGTGATTAAAAGGAGAAGGGAAAATACCAAATGAAATTTCTCTCTTTCTCTCTCTCTCTCTCTCTCTCTCTCATAAAGTACAGGGCCAGAAAGGTACTACAGGGTTTTCAATGTTTAACTCGCTTGTGGTTTGCACTAAATATGCCCCTCTGAGCATCATGAGGATAGAGTCAGGAATAAGTCTTGAGCACAGCTGGACATGGCCAATAAAATAAATGAAAAGTATAAAAGAAACATAGTATTAGAATAAAAAAATTTACTATTAACAATAGAATTTAAGAGTTCTCTAAAGGATTGAGTTTGCAATGGAGCAATGTAGGATAAGGGAAGTGAGAGGTTATCTAGATACATTGGTGAAGGAATTCTGACACTCTAATGATGCATGTAGTATAGCAGTGTCGTATGACTGAAAATCATTTACTAAATAAAAAATAAAAATATGCAAAATATGGTGGATGGAGCGTAAAAAACTGTTGCTGTGAAGTTCACCAAAATGAAGATGCCACCTAAAATGAGACTGGAGCAATCAGTTCATGTGGCAGGTTTTGTTAAAGATTTCTGGGTCAGATGGGTCTGGATCAATATGTTGACAGTATCTCATATACTAGTATGGCCGTTGACTGTCATTGTCCTCCCATTGTTCATCAATTTGCTCCAGCGGGCCCAGTAACATCTCTATTGTGACAATTGTTACTGTGTTTGGCGTATCGAATACGTCACGGGGAGCTTGCCAGGCTTTGCCATGCGGGCGAGATACTCTTGGTAGCTTGCCGTGCTCTCCGAGAGGGGCGGAGGAATCAAACTCAGGTTGGCCATTTTGGCCACTTCCAAGGCAAATGCCCTATAGCTGTGCTATAGCTCCAGCCCATAATAGAAGCAAATTTTTCTCACAATTACTTCATTTAGATAATTAAGGTATAATACCCACGTTGGAAGAATTGAGCTACATGTTCCAAATGTCAGGGGTAGTGTGCATGTAATTCAACTGGTAGAACACATACCTTTGAATGTATGAGATCCTGGGTTCAATTCTCAGCTCTACTGACATTGCTAAATACAATCTTACTACTTGAGTACTACAGCCAAAACTATTAATCCAAATTCCCACCCACTACAAACACACAAAAAAGAGTTCAGTGAAAAATCAAGCATAGAGATGGTCTTCAGTAGTCAAAAGATTTCACTTTGTCCCAATTATTCAGAAGATCAAGAAGCTGCAGTCGCTGCTCATATGCATCAACAATTAGGACCTACCTAGTTTTGTAGGCACTCAGAATATCCTCCTCAACAGATGTGCACAATTTAAATGTAAACTCATTGTCTCTATAATGAAAAAGGTCAACAAGAACCCAAGCACCCATTAACATGTAAGAGGCCTTCTACAAGTCTGAACATTGGGAGGAATCTAAAGAAGAGTTGCATGCATTTCTTGATCTCAAGAAGGCTTCCATATGGGTGGGGAAACCAATAAGAAACTGTGAAACTAGTGAAGAACAATGCCTCTTTTTATCTCTTATCTTAATAGACTTCTTTATAGCTTTTGTCTCTGGTGACCTTGCCCTCCTTCCTGAAACTCCCTTGAATTTCCAATGAACCTCTCATTATGCAGATGGATTTCTTTTTTATTCTTTGTCCCATTCTCTTTTCAGTGTATTCTTACTGTCCATGAATCCCTTTCCATAATTCCAAATCCGTGATTCCATCTACCCACACTTCTGCGATCATTGCTCAGGGCTAAACTGCTTCCTCATCCTCCAGGCCTCCTCGCAGGCCAAATATTACATCTACAAGACTGAGTCCATTGCTCTTCCTTCAAACAATACCCAAGTTCATGGTATTTCTTCTATCTAGCATCCTGACCCCTCTAAGCTATGGATAGACAGCACCTTGATTTAGAGCATGCACGCTAAAATGGGGCTCTCTAATTCAGTTCCCAGTTGATCTTTTAACTTGCTCTGTGACTTGAAAGTTACTAAACACTTCAGGGCCTCCATTTTCTCAACTTTAAAATAGGTCGCCTATTCCAGAGTTTATGAGATGAGTTTATATGTACATAAGATATATCAAATACAGTTTAATTTATTGGAAATTATAGAAAGTTTCTGTAACTTTAATTATCCTCTTAGGTTCTTCTTACTTGCCCAAACCTCTACAAGTGATTTACCCTCAACTCTGGCAAAGTGATCTCGTAAAGACTCTTATTGCTCGACTGCAGTTGCAGCTATTTATGTTTAGGGTTTCATTGCCTATAGTAGATGGCCTCAAAACAGCTTTCCCTCACTCAGCGCTACTCAGCGAAGGTCCTCCCTTAACAGCAGGTAAGGGGGCAGCCAGGAGCAGAGCCCCCAAGGCACAGGGTTCCGCGCTGCTGGTGAGAGCACCCAGTGACAGCGTGAGAAGTTCCCAGAAAGCACTCATCCTATGGTTAAGTTGGTGATTTGCTTCCTTCCCACCCTCTCCTTACTAGCGTTTGACACATTTGCACCTTGCGTGAATACAAGCGTGTGGTTTTCAGCTCAGGAGGTGTAGGAAAATCTGCTCTGACTGTCCAGTTTGTTCAAAGAATTTTTGTTGAAAAATACGATTCTACGATAGAAGACTCTTACAGAAAGCAAGTTGAAGTAGATGTACAACAATGTATGCTTGAAATCTTGGATACCGCAGGAGCAGAACAATTTACAGCAATGAGGAATTTGTACATGAAAAATGGACAAGGCTTTGTATTAGTGTATTCCATCACAGCACAGTCTACATGTAATGATTTACAAGATCAGAGAGAACAGATTCTTCGAGTTAAAGACACTGATGACGTTCCAGTGATTCTGGTTGGTAACAAGTGTGACTTGGAAGATGGAAGAATTGTAGGAAAGGAACAAGGTCAAAATCGAGCAAGACAATGGAACAACTGTGCATTCTTAGGGTCCTCTGCAAAATCAAAAATAAATGTTAATGAGATCTTTTATGACCTCGTGTGGCAAATTAACAGAAAAAATCCAGTGCCTGGTAATCACTTATCTTCACTTAATCTTCACTTTGAGTGCCTGGTAAGGCCGGCAAAAAGTCCTCCTGATTTAATACACGAAATGCATTGTAGCTCTGAGCCAGGTCTGAAGAATTGTTGCCCAATTCAACAGTGCCAGCAATCCAACTTTATTAAACCTACCAACATCTTAAATGGACTTTCCTGTGGTGGTACTCTTTAAGAGGCAGATTCACATCAGTTTGCACATTTCAATCACTTTCCAGTATCACAAGAGAGATTTTTACTTATATAATAATCCTAGAGTATACAACTGGTCAAGCCAGAGGCTACAATCCAGTATTACTGCTAAGAGACATTTTTCATCCAACAATGTTGTACATGTCTGAAAATGGTGTACTGTATACTTTAACATGCCCCATACTTTGTATTGGAGAGCACAATAATGTAAATCCTAAAAGCACCACTATTTTATCATAATGAAAGTTCAAAGATTTCCTATATAGACTACTCCAGATAATTTTGCTTCTTTGATACTTGTAGTTTATTGTAAATTTTTAAGAAATTAAAGTCATTATCATTACATTATACAAATAAGTGCCTTGATTAACACAGCTATACTTCTTTTAATTTTTAAAAAACCTGTGGAGACAGTGATCTTGTCTTTAAAATATGATAGTCTTTTCAGTATAATGTCTTAGATTAAAGACTTTGCCTTTAATATCTGTTGGGAAGGAAATGTCCAGGCTTTTCAAATCTCTTATTATATGCTTTCTTTTTTGTTTAAATAGGGAACAATATTTATAGTTGTATGTATAGTGGGGGTCTACAGCAAGAAGTGTATATTTTCAAACAGGTTTTTAGTGATTTGACAATTTTTGTAAATCATTTTCAGACTTCTGCAGCTGTAGATTCTCACTATGAATCCCTTGCTTGCTCATGCATAAGTGTATTTGCAATACCAAATATACAGGTTTAGTACGTTTGCCTGTTAGTGATTGTTTCACATGTGTAACATTTTGGTTGAGATGTTAAATGGTGGAAGAGTACTGTGGATGTGAATGTGGGAAGTAATTTTAATCATGTTTAATTGGTTACAAGGCCTAAGTTGCAGTAACTATTGCTGTTTTATTTAACAATTCATTGTTGCTTTGTATGCATTAACGTTTGGGTGTCAAGATTGTGTGTCTATCCAAAAGGGAGCCAGAGTATTTAAATTGACCAACCTAATGTTACAACTACTTGTAGGTGACCAAATGTAAACTAAGATGTAACTAAAGTGGTGCAATTTTGTATAACTTAACATCAGTAGTTCAATAAATTTGGATTGCCATGCAAGGGCTTGCATTATTAAAAAAAAAAACAGCAGGTAAGGTATAGGTTGTATTATAATGATGTTCATGAAACTAACACTGAGACGTCTAAGCTTCAGGTTCCTTGGTCCACAAGCTCTGCAGTATAATCCAGGTCAGGAAGGCTTATTGTAGGAATGGGAACGGGATATAGAGTACATACTCACTCACCCACCCTAATCCACTTTTTGTCACCCTTCTTCCTACTTTGCTTTCCTTCCTTATTCCTATTCTTATTTGGATCCAGGACAGGTGAAGAATAGAAAGCAACCTGGCCTTTTGATTTCCCCCACCCAGGGTCCCCTTCTGTGCTGATAAGAGTGAGAACATTCGAGCTACAGATAAGACCTCAGATCCCTGGCTCTGTCCTTCCACTCCCTCGGTTCAGCTTTGAAGTTCCAAAAACCCTGCCTTTGTAACCTAATTGTGTTATCTTCACTGCCAAGGTGAGTGAGCGGGAGAATGATTTTATGGTTTCCTGTAAGTGGCCGTCCTCATAGCTCTGATTTCTTATAATGGGAGAGAAAGGAAGTGGAGGGATGATAGGGGGTGATATGGGGGGTGGTTTGAGCACAAGGCAGTTGTCCCATGAGAGTTTTACTAAATTGGAGAGAGAGGTAAATACAGGAATTGATTCCAGCTTAGAGAAATGGTTCTCAACCAGGGCCAGTCTTGTTCTCCAGCGGACATGCAAACAAGTCAGGAGATGATTCTGATTGTCTAAGGAAGAGGGATGCTCATTGCATCTGGTGGGTAGAAACCAAGATACTTTCCTAAACCACCTACAATACAGAATTCGTTTCCACAGACAAGACTTATCTGATCCCTAATTCCAATAAGTGCCAAGGTGCAGAAATCCTGAGAAAACAAAAAAAAAGAAGAACCGAAATAATCAAAAGAGAAAGTTAATAAAATTCTAATACTTTTGTTTGTGAAAAAAGGCAGCATGCCATGGTATCTGTATTCTGCTTCAGGATCTTCAAGTATCTGTGCTCCAAAGAGGTCTCCAGTCCCAGGAAGTTTCTACAGAGGGAAAAGGAAATTCATATTTCTATTACATGACCAAGCAGATACAGCCCTTGCATGAGAGCATGTGATTGTGGTGTCCAAAGATCTGATTCTATCTTGGTTCTGTCCCTGATATCCAGTCTCACTTAGGCACATTGTCTCAGTTAACTTTTCTGCAAAACCAGGGAAAAGGAGCTCAAGATTTTTTGCAGGGCTTGAATTTCCCTGAGGGACATAAATTAATGCAAGGAGGGAAGCTGACTGAGAGAGTTCTGGAAGGTCTCAGAGGGGGCTGGCCATGGATGTTGGAGGTGGACAGTTTTCTCAAGAAGAGGCATCTGAGCTACACTCAAGACACAGGAAAAGAGACAAGAGGCATTATTTGACAAAGGAAAAAAGGAAACAGGCTTTTAAGTACTTTGGACATAAATCTAGGGCATGCCTAGCACATTGCCATTTTTATTTAATAAAATATTTAATAAAAAAAATTGTCCACTGTCCACTGTCCTCCCATTGTTCATCGATTTTACTTGAGCAAGCCCGGTAACGTCTCAATTTTTGAGACTTGTTGTTGTTACTGTGTTTGGCATACTGAATACGTCACGGGGAGCTTGCCAGGCTTTGCCGTGCGGGCAAGATACTCTCAGTAGCTTGCCAGGCTCTCTGAGAGGGGCGGGGGAATCAAACCCAGCTCGGCCGAGCTGACTGCGCACAAGGCAAACTCCCTACCGCTGTGCAAATCTCCAATCTCTGCATTTGATTCCCATCATCCCATTTGGCCCCCTGAGCACTGCCAGGAGTAATTCCTGAGTGCAAAGCCAAGACTAACCCCTGTGCATCGCTGAGTGCGACCCAAAAAGCCAAAAAATTTAAAAAAAAAATAAAAACTCTGCGACAGGTATTGTCTGTATCTAATAGTCTGTGTTTGTCTTATTTGCTTACTCTATTTCTTTCTATTCTATATCTGAATGAAATCAAATTGTATCTCCTCTGTCTGACTTATTTCACTAAGCATACTAATCTCTGCAAGGTCCATCCACGTTGTCACAAATGCGAGATTTTATCCTTTTCTATAACTGAGCAATATTCCACTGTCACATACAACGCATCTTTGTCCACTAATCTGCCAGTGAACCAACAGGGAAGGACGTGAGTAGGTATGCAGAGGGTAAAAGGGTCAACTGAATGGTGATGGGTGAAAACTAGACTTCTAGAGTGATCACAGTATAGAGTACACAGATCTCCAATTACAGTGTTATATACTTAACATGAATCATTTACAAACTAATACTGTCTCAATAAAAATGTGTTCATAACAAAACAACTCTGGGATGAGTGGATTGCAGGGTCTTCCCCATTAAATAAAATCAAGGTTAAGAGTTAGTACTTTCAATGCAATGTGTGTGCTTTGCCACTGTCACAAGGTCTTCTATCTCCCACCTCTATGCAATGGCCTGAAGAACAAAACCTATCTTCTCTGCCCAGAAAGTGACCCTTTCTGAAAAGTCATTGTTGAAAATGTGCTGCCAGAACATTAGAGAATCATTTACCTGAGGGTAGTTATTGGTATCCAGACACTTGAGACTCTGTAAGTGTAAATCATATGGGGTCCAGAATCTCCAGGTCCAATCTCTCAGCATCAGCATGTATAGGCAGACAAGGGAACTAAATTTTAGACAGAAGCTTCTATGCTTCTTGGGTAATTGTCTGTGTTATAAATTCTTAGTATTTTTCAAGAGCTTAGAAAAAAAGACCTCCATCTATTGATTTGGCAGTGGATTTTCTGAGGCCTAAGGACACTCAAAGACTTTTAATCTAGATAAAGGCTGTCCCTTTCTTTCTGAGGTTATTTTTCTTTGTATGTGAAGGCAAGGTATTTGAGCTACACCCAGTGGGGCTTGGGACTTACTCCTGGCTCTGTGCTCAGGGATCATTCCTGGTGGCGCTCAGGAGATTATAAGCAGTTCTGCGGACAAATTAAGGTCAGCCTGATGCAAGGCAGATGTTTTAACCACTGTACTATTTCTCTGGCCATTACTGAGGTTCTTTTAGACATAAAGAAGTCTTAATAGATCCAAAAGTCATAAACTATTGATGAATCCTTCATAAAACCTTCTGGATTTCCTTGTCTTTGCAGAAAAATTGTCTGAGATAGTGAACTTTCACCTGAAGATTTTAGTCACTTATCTGGACCAACATTTGAGACACCTGGACCTGGTCAAAGACCTCAAAAAACCTGGGGGACACCCCTCAGAGGGGAGATTTTAATTGATGGCAGTTGACACTCATTATCTCTGTGCAAAATGGGGTCATGACCACTGCCAGAAAGAGACAAGCTCTTTGTATGCAGAGTAGGTGGCAGGACACTGCCAACAGATTCCTATAGGAAAGCTTAAGAAGGACAACGGAGCATGAGAGTCTGAGGATGAAGCTAAATAGTTTGATCCTCAGCACCATCACTTAATCACTTAATCACTTAACTTCCCGATAGTCGTCGATTTGCTCGAGCGGGCGCCAGTAACATCTCCATTTGATTTCTCTTTCATCATAATGAGATGTTGGTGCGTAGACAACGAAGATAGAAACTGCAGGCAGTGAGCCACATCTATTCAAATGTAGACGTCCGATTCGGGTTGTTAGGCATTCGAATGAATCAATGCTCTTGGCCAAGTTTGTGTTGACAAGGACACCAACGCCTCCAACACCTCTTTTATCGCATGTTCCGAGGAACAATTCTTCTCCAGTGTCGAAAACGGCATGGTGAGATTCGTGCCTTCTTGTCTCGGTCAGACCAATGATGTCGTACTTGATCATTCGCGCTTGTACCATCAGGTCCTCGATGGATGCATCTGATGCTAGCATA